AATATCTGTACATATTTAATGAATTCTTCAACACAAATACCTTGTTTTAGAAAAAGCTATTGGGTTCGGCTGAACCCATTGCTCAGTTTATGCCTCCACCCCTGAGTTCAGTGCTAAGAATCTTAAAGATTGAGCCTATTAAGTGTAAATCATGTATCCACCTCTGTTAGGCGGATTCGCCGTGTTGTACAAGTGCATGTTCGGAGTCACCGATGGGCTTAAGCATACCACTCAAAAGGCCTCGAGCATTTAAAGAGTAGAGCTTTTGATACACAAAAAGAAAGAGCCACTAAGTGCTTGATCTTTTGCCCTAATCTAGTAGTCGATAGTTCCCAACCTCCATGTGCCCATTGGTCATTCTGTTAATTTAAGAAAAGGTAACAGCTAGAGATCGTAGAAATGAAGAAAACAGCAGTCACCCTGGCAAGATACAGCATAGAGCCAAGTTTTGTTGGTGACGAAAGATCTGAGCTACTTATGTATCTTCATTCTTGAACTTATAAATCTTGCCCTTATCTTGATAGTTTTGTGACAGGTATCTCATTGGATGACAGACAGAAGATATTTCTCCCTCCAACCTGCTGATGTTGCTACACGAATTGATTTGATGTATAAAGTTAAAGGTCTCGAAGAGGTTGAAGAATACTTCAATAGCACTCCGCAGAAATTGAAACGCCTGACAGTGTATACATCTCTCCTCAATTGCTATACCAGCGAGAAGTCTGCAGAGAAAGCTGAGGCCCTAATGCAGAAACTAAGAGATATGGGGTTTGCTAAGGGTACATTGTGCTACAATTTGATGCTGAACCTCTATTCTAAAACAGGAAGATGGGATGAAATGGACAATCTGATGAATGAAATGGAGCAGAAAGGCATAAATTTTGATGAATTCACGTTCACAATACGGTTAACTGCATATGCTGCTGCTGGAGATTCTGATGGAGTGGATAAAATAGTAGCGATGATGGAATCTGATAAGCATCGCATTTTGCAGTGGGGTACTTACAGTATTGCAGCAGATATGTGTTTGAGAGTTGGACAGGTGGAGAAAGCTTTAGCAATGCTGAATAAATTGGAGGGCATGATTTTGACTGGTGAGAAAAGTAATGGTGCATATAATTCATTATTAAAACTATATGGGGAAGCTGGAAAGAAAGAAGAGGTTCACCGAGTGTGGAATTTGTACAAGCAGGAGAAGAAAATTCTTAACAAAGGTTACATTAGTGTGATGAGCTCACTAGTGAAATTTGGTGATACAGAAGGAGTTGAGAAGATCTTTGAGGAATGGGAAGCGGAAGCTTTGTCCTATGACTTCCGTGTTCCAGACGTTCTGATTGGTACTTACTGTAGAAATGGTCTTCTGGAGAAGGCTAAGGCCCTAGTGGACAAAGGAATGTCAAAAGGGGGTGTTCCATGGGTCACCACATGGTGTCACTTGGCAAATGGATACATACATGAAGATCTTATCCCAGAGGCTGTAGAAGCATTGAAGAAGGCCATCTCATTATGCCCGCCTAATTATAGACCTAGCAGGGAGACCTTGGTTACATGTGTACAATACTGGGAAAACCAGGGAAATGTGGATAAGGCTGAGGACTTTGTAAGGTCTTTAGAAACAGAGCATATGTTCTCAGCTGTTTTTCGTGACAAGTTGTTGCGCTTTATTAAGGAAGAAAAACTACAGACCTGAGCAAACACATCTTGCATGGAAACAACTTATTTAAGAGACTCTCGCAAGGTTAGGCATGGCCAACAATAGCTGTAAGTATGAACTGAAGCTGTCAGGCCTGCTAGATATGGAACAATTAAAGAGAAATTTATTTGTCTGACGGAGATTCTTTTTCTTCGGGGTTCATAGTTGATATTTCTCATTGAGATTCACCTGTGGTTGGTCTCAAATCTCAAGTGATCTTAGGCCGCATATTCATTGGTGATAAGTAATATACTGCAAGATTAGTCCTCAAGAGAGACAAGATGCTTTGTTCGTAACATATATTGCGTCAACGAGCTTGTCTGAAGGCCAAAATTCAACAGAATGTGTATATTCTTTGTTTTGGTAACTATAGCTAGTGGGGGCACCAACGCTCCTTTCCTGAGCTTGTTTGAGTTTGGTTATGAAGACAGTACAAGAAGGTACATTACTTTGGTTCTTCGTTTTTCGCCATATGATGTTATTGTAGTTTAAGTATTATGACAATATTGTTTGTTGAGAAGCTGATAATATTAGTCCAAGCCCCATGGTGTGCCACCTCCTAAAAATATAGGGTCATTTCTCCCCAGTTTAGCATATTTAATGAACATTTTCTCTTGATTGAAGAATATCTGAGACCTTCCCTCTTTGATGGTGAAAATGAGAGTTAATCTTCCCTCTTACAATGATTCTTTATGCTGTTACTCTCAAGGGATGCCTGAGCTGTTAATACTGGAGTGATGTACCTTCTTATTTTCTTTATACTTATAGTAGTAAGCTTTAAAGAAATCTACCACTATTGCTCTTCTTTATTTTCTTCTATAGCTTTTGAGTAAATAAAAGATATTGCATGGCGAAATTTGAACAAATTTTTTACTAACTTTACATGGCACGATTGCTTTTAAAGATCGTAGTAACTGCGTGGAAGTCTGTAATTGAATTTCAAATTATGGGGAGGCCCTGGATCTTCCTCAAACTAAAGGGCGATTGATTTAATTTTCTAAACCAAAAAAGTTAAAAGTTAAAAAGAATTCACCAAACAATAGAGTTTAAAAATAAAGTAAACTTAAAAAGGAAGTTTGAATAAATCACCCTACAAAAAAATATTTTTAAAAAAAATTCAAGTTTTTCTTTCGTATAGTAGAATTGACCCCATTTTCCCAAGAAGGGAATGAAGAGCCAAGTTTCAACAGGATATATTACAGTCAGGTGCGAACGTGTAACTTAATTAGAGGGAGAGTGGAGTGTAAAAATTCTATGCTTTGAAATTCCAGTCTTTTACAAGAAAACTTCGTCACACACACACACATATATATATATGATAGTAGTTATAGAATACTAGTTCAATTTTCTCACTCCCTCCCCAACGAATGAAATGTTGTAGGTAAAAATCAATAAGTCAATTAACTACGTTACTTCAACTTAGTTTGAGTGAGCTGTATGAATCTTTTATAGTCAATATGTTATTCCGATCATCTTATTCTATTGTACATTCGGAAAAGGAAAATAAAATAAAATAAAAAGGAGAAGAGTCAACTTTGAACATGCTCACCACCTTCAGGATGTGAATTTTCATCAAATAGACAAATACAAAATGATTTGAAAATAAAGGATATAATTAGAGAGCCGAATAAATAAGTACTTATCTTGAAGAAAAACAAGAACAATTGATTGTTGTTAAAGACCTTATTGTTATCATGTAGCTTTTAAGATAAGAAGAAAGATATTTGACTCAAAGATGGCAAATTCATTGTAACAACTTAGGATATTCTATGTAGTTGGCAAAACAGTGACATGTCAACCAACCATTTTAAGAGCCCGTTTGGACATAAGAATTGTTTTACTTTTTTTTGAAATCGGGGTTTGGCAATAAAATTTCCTATTTTCACTTAAAGATGAATTTTGCAATTTTTAAAAATTTGAAAAACTTCAAAAAGTTATGTTTCAAAATTTTCACTCAGATCACTCACAAAACTTCAAAAACAACCCAAAATTATATTCATGTCCAAACACAACTCAAATTTTCAAATATCACGAAAAAAAACTTCACCTTTTTTGAAATTTTACAATTTTTATGTCCAAAGGCGCACTTAGTGTTTTGAAAATTTGGTGTAAGGAATTAATAATCACATGATTAAGTGCAAAGTTTATCTAAAATATCCTACGTTGGGTGGGACATGCACTTGAATTATGTTGGATGGACAATTTTAATAAAGAATGTTAAATGATCTTTAAGAGCACGCCATCAATTTCTCTATTTGCCTCACAAGCCACCGGCCAAGGATCTAATTACTTTGTTTGACACAATGTTAGGGCCCCAATTTGAAAATTCTTGAAATTGTTGTGGACTTGGTAAAACAGAAGAAAATCGTTTTTGCTATTTTCTCTCTGTCCACGTTTATAGCTTTCCACCAACCATTTTGTTTAGCATATTATAAAATTAACATAGTTATATTAATATACCAGCCTCTTATGCTACACTGAGGCGGGTCTATTGGAAACAATCTCTCTATCTCCACGAGATAGGGGTAGATTTGCATACACAGTACACACTACTTTCTCCAATATCCCACTATGTGGGATTACACTGAGTTTGTTTTTGTCGTCGTTGTTATATATTAATATACCAGCCTGCCATTTTCACAATATCGGTTTCGCCATGTTAATATTATGTTAGTAGTATATAATATGAAGCACGCAGATGGTGCTATATTTTAAAAAGAAGTGTTTTGGCCTGCACCTTTATACACTTTCTTGTGATACATTAGCATCTTTTCCCTAGAATGAAGACAATTATGCTATAGTATTTTATCAAATCAGGGGCCCCTTGGAAAAAAATTAGGGGACAAAATTCCTAATAGTTGTTTCAGAGAGATATGAGCAAATAGGGGGACAAGCAACATGGTAAACCTTAGCCACAATATGTTGGGACCAGAGAACCAAACAATCACTATACTCTGCTTTACATTCATTGATTTAACTTATTATAAGCTTATAGTCTAAAGCTTCTTTACACTATCGGTATATTTTAACATATTTTAACATGTTAATAGTAGGCTACCTGCCTTATTCCTATGCAATCTCATTAATATGGGCAACTATGGCCGGTTATCTTTTAGGTGATCTTATCGATGGATAAAAGTTGAATACTATATAACATAAACTAGCCCTTTCATGAGCTCTTTTGGCAAATTCCACTTGGTGGACAACTCTGTCTCTTCAGCAAAAGAGAATTCATGCCCCATGCATAGTAGGAAAGTGGAAAATTATGCAAGAGTAAAAGGGAAAATAATAGCACAAAATGCCTTCATTGTACCAGTTTAAACTCACTAAACTTTTGTCAAAATTTTGCGTATTATCATCTCAAATATATGATTTTTAATGACTTGATGCTCATCAACATCAGTTATGTACAATGTGTACAAGACGAAGGGCGGCGCGCGGGGGTGGGGGGAGAGCGCCTCAATGAAACTAGAATAACAAGAGGCAAAGAAGAAAACAGCATAAGAGGAAAAGGGAAATTCTATTGAGAGACTTGTCAGCCTGCATTTCCTGTCTTCTCAATCTTGAGCTGCTATTTCCAACTAGATGATATGAGTTAGGATATGTATATAAACTCTCTGAGTTCCCGAACATCCTAGCATAGACCATCTCTCCAAACATTCCAACAACTGGATGATAGACTCCAACTGATGTATTGCTTCCAAAGTTGAAGGAAGAAGGCGATGATGAACTGTTGAGGTAACTCGTATACGGATTATAAGCATTAGGATGTGGCAGTTGCTGAGAAGGATTAACAGAATTTGACAAGGATAATGGACCAACAGCAGCTGGCCTGGGAGGTACTTTTAGGGTGAGCTTGTTTTCGGGCTCAGATTCAGGCAGTGTCTCCCCACGCCCGTAAAGAGGGACTAAATCTTTTTGGGAGATTTCAGCCTTGCAAACTGGGCATTGAGGGCGTTCATCTGAAGACAGAGAGTCGCTCTGAAAGTGAAACCACTTATAAATGCAGGGCCAACAATAGAGATGGCCACAAAGTGTAACAACCGGATCCCGTGCAAAGTCCAGGCAGATGTTGCAATCAAAGCAGGCAGAAGTCTTATCTGAGTCTGATGCTGGAGCAGGGATCGATTTCCACTCGTTTGCATAATACTGCTCGAAGGCCATAGGATTTGTTTCCTGATAAGTTGTTCAAGCTAAGGATCCTAAAAATCTGAAAGAACAATCAATAGTTAGCACATGGGAAGAAAAAGAAGAAGCAGAGTGAACAAATTACAGCACCATCAATTAGCCAATGTATTAGGACTTGAAAAATCCTAATTATTCAATGTCAATCATATTGACTTATCCTAGTAATTGGAATCATTATAGTGGACATTTAAGCAATCTACCAAAGAATTACAAGAAATTAAAATTCTTTGGCTATATGAAGGAAAAACACATGTTAACATGTGACTTAGGTGCTACTAAGATTCTTTAATCTCCAATATAAAATTGCAGAGCGATAGCAGACAGATTACTGCACTAGGAAGGAAAGGTTGAGAGGGAAGCTAGCCCCCCATCCCAACCCCCCCCCCCCCACCAACAGACGAGAACAAAAAGACGATGCGTGTGAATAAAAGACACAATTTCTAAAAGATTAGTGAAGCTTCCTGTGCAATCCATAGCCACCAAGGGAGATGGATCAGTAAAATGATATGCACTTTGATGTCTCAAACAAGAATTTCAGTTAGCTTGTTACTTTCATTTCCCAAAACAGACATACTAGACTGACTCTAATCTCATTATCTCATAAAACAACTACTAATTGGCTCAGTTTGACGAAATATCTCAATCTTGAATCTCTCCTTTTGCACAGTAAAAATTGCATTTCAATCCAAACATACCCCCTTAATCTTAAACCCTCCTAGTTTCCACTTTCCCATTTACCCTCCTAATTTCCACTTTCCCATTTACCCCAATCCAGATGGTGGAACAAACTATCAAACATGATCAGCAGCATAGGCTCCATTAGCAGATTACAGCATTAATTCCAAAGTATAATTGAGGAAACCCTCTTCTATATCATACACATAATGTCAAGAAAATCCTCAAAATTATTTGCTTAATTATGGTAGGTAAAGGTAAAGACTTTAACACCAACAAAGGTCATTTCCAGTTCAACTTAGCATGATATGATCAAACACAAGAAAAAAGTCATCTAGAAATATCCATCAACGATCTACCTTTACACACCACTAATCCCTATAATTTCAACCAAAATACAAAACAAGGGAAAATAAGTTCAATTGTCGAGATAAATGAAGGAAGATAAAGAGATTGTGTTCTTACCAATAAAGCAAAAGGGTTGAAAAAACAATTAGCAGTTCAGACTTTCAAGCTTCAAGGGAGAATACCAGATAAAGAAACAGAAGAAAATTGTAGAGGTAAACAGGAGCAAGTGGTTGAGCTGAGAGGGAGGAAAATGGAAATGGTGGAGCACTTTTTATAACAACAAATTTGGAACGGACGACTTTCTCCTTTCTAACCCATGCCGACGTGGCTGATTTTGTATGGTCTCTCTCTCTCTCATAGTAAGTAGTACTATTTATTTCTACATTTAATGGAATCTTCAATTTGCTGCCTAATTATTTGTTTTTTCTTACTTGATACATCAAGCCAATCTAGCTCTTTTTTTCTTCTTAAAAAGAGATCTTGTATTATTACAAAGGGAAGAATAAATGAGAGAGAAAAGGAGAACCGTGATAATTGAATTACAGTTAAAATTTTCAATAGTACTGGTGAGATATAAATCTTGGTAGTGGTAACCTAGCCACCTAGCTATCCAATACAAGTTTCTAGGTTGTCTAAAACAAATTACGCCCTAAATTTAATTTGTGATAGCAGATTAGTTATTATTTTTATCAAGTTACTAATTAATGGTTATCATAAAGAGGAATATGCGTAATTAAAGTATAAATGACACAATTGTATTTTATAAACATTTTCTATACCATCAATACAAAGTAGTAGTACAATTTCACGTGCTTGATTAATATTGTTTCTTTTTGTATTTTTTGTCATGGATTGGAGCACAAGTAGTTGGTCACTTGTAAGTGTTTGGTGAATTTATTCTCAAGTAATGAAGCCAACCATAACAATATTAGTAATGGGACAAAGAAAGAGGCTGTGGACTTCTATTTACAACAAACCCATTTTGATCCCAACAAATGGGGTCTGGGGAAGGTAGTCTGTACGCGGACCTTACCCCTACCTAATACAGGTAGAGAGGCTATTTCCAATAGACCCTCGGCTCAGGAAGAGCAAGAAGAAGAAGAGAAAAGCAAGGGAGGAAGAAATATGGAAGATAAAAGAAAAGGGAGGGATAAAGGATAAGTGGTAGCAAATATTAACAACAGGGAATACAATACCTGAGGCGAACAAAACCACATAACATAATAAAAAACTAAGAATATGAAGGGACATGCATACTACTAAGACTATCGGTGAACAACTATAGACTACCTACTAACATTCTACCTTAATCCTCGACCCCCACACTCTCCTATCAAGGGTCATGTCCTCAGTGACCTAAAGCATCGGCATATCCTGCCTAATCACCTCTCCCCAATACTTCTTAAGCCTACCTATTTGAATTACTTAAATTTTTTTTCGAGCGCTCACTATCATAGTTAGTTAAAATTGTATTGGTGTAATGGTGTTAGATTCATTAGGTAAACTTATAAACTATTGTACTCACGATCATGGGCGTAATGGGATCTTTACTTAAATAGTAAGTCTGTTGCATTGTTACTTTTCCTAGCTGATATATATTGATTATACATATATTATATATTTGTCGATTATGTTTAGTCTAAGTGATTGAGTGGGTGATTATTTGAGTTAATTCTTCTTTTTGTTTTATGGGTGGGTGTTCTATATATGCATGCATACGTATAAAAAAGAATTGGAATTCGAAGTATATAATCTCATTTTAAGTATCGCCTAGAGTCTTGTTTCTCATTTATTCACAACGGAGGAGTCTGGCTTGAAATATTCTTTTTTCATACCCAAAAGGGAGTGCGTGTATATANGTTGTCCGAATAGACTCTTGAATAATGACATTTTTTAAAGTGGAACTTTAGGCAGAATTTCAGTTTTATTCCAACTCATGTAAGCCACATAAATTTAGGAGTAGGAGTACCAAAATACTTCAAGCTTTTAGTCCAAATGCGTGCCAACATAAAAAATAGTCTAATGAACTCTCTGAATATGAATATAATGAAATATGGATACAGACAACTCATATAATTAATTGGTTCCAATTCCTTTGAGATTGAAATATATTAATTTTGAAACATTAAGGAACTAAGTCCAATTAATATATAAATTATAAAAAGGAGTACTAGTTAGTAGCGAATCAAAAGAGGGGGTTGCATAACAAGTAACCAATAAGAAAAAAAAACAATTAGCACTAATTAAATAAAAGAAAATGATTGTTAAGGAATCAGTAATATTGGCTATTTAACTTTTTTGTTTCTTATCGTCCTTTTAGTATTACCGACTAACAATCTTGAAATTAATCGACTATATGAAAGCTTTTTGAAACAAAGAGATATCAATGACATTTCTGTGAAGAAAACAAAAGTTGACTTGTCAAAATATTGATCTCACAGTTCTTGTCAATTAGATTTTTCCTTGTTGTTGCTTCTAGATTGTAATTTTATTCAATCTTGTTTGTCATTCTAGAAGGCAGGTCATGTAATTAATTTCCTATACTACCAATACACTAAATACAACAAGAACAATAACAAGAACAACCTAATATAATCTCACTTAGTAGGGTCTGGGAAGGATAGTGTGTACGCAGACCTTATCCCTACACTGAAGTAAAGAGGTTGTTTCCAAATAAACCCCCGACATCCTTCCCTCTAAGAACTTCCCACATTGCCCTTGGGGAGACTCGAACTCACAACCTCTTGATTGGAAGTGAATATTGCTTACCATAGTATAAATCTGCCACATTAAAGGCTGGAAAATAGAAGGGGCTTAGTGGAAAAACTGGTCCTACTTCTAGAAAATCTATAAAAAGGGTTCAATTAAGAAATAGTTCTAAGAAGGACACATGGTCCATTTTAATTTGATAACATTGTTATAGATCTATTCTACCTAATTTTCAAGAAGTTAACTTAGGAAAATCAACCCCAAGACGAGCAAACAGCAAAAAGTTAAAGGAAGGACTGAAATGATGAGTTGTTCTAATACTTTGTGCAACCTTACTTTATCTTCCATTAAGTCCAATTATTTAACTTAAGGTATTATATCTTCTAGAAATCCATTTATTTAATTTAACTTACCGTATATATTTATTATTATTTGAGACAAGATAAATTTATGAATTTTAGTAGCTCTTTTTGATTTACTATGGTCCTTCCACTTTTCAGTCCCTTAGTTTTCATTAAATTAGTGATTCACTTTTCATTATTATTTGTGTGAGCACATAATTTTTGCCCAATAAAAATACTCCCACAAAATCCACAAAATAAATTCTCCTAATTGTTTTTAATTTTATAAAATTTCTAGGAATTTCTTGTTAATTAGTGCTTGCATTTAGGTGCATTTTTTGAGAATATTTAGTATCTTAAAATCATAAAAAAAAAACCATAAAAATTGTCAAATTTTAATTTCATGACATTTTAGGTTTAATTGCATTTTAGGAATTAATAACTCTCTAATTGTTAGAATTAATACATGAAAATAAAAATTAAAAAGATTTTAGTAATTTTACATGTATTTGTTAAATTTGAACAAATTAGTTAGTTATGAGAAAATAGAATAATAGGTTAATTCTGCAAAAGCTACTTTTTAAGTTAGATTTGTTAAGAAAGGTGGCTCATTTTGAATATTAATTAAAAAACAAAAAGAAAGAAAAAGCAAGTTTTCTGAAGTGGGCCAAAACAATCTCAAACGACCCACTTCTTGCATTTAGTTGCATTTTTTGAGCATATTTAGTGTTTTAAAATCATAGAAAAATCATAAAAATTATCAAATTTTAGTTTCATGACATTTTAGGTTTAATTACATTTTAGGAATTAATTATTCTCTAATTGTTAGAATTAATACATGAAAATCAAACAAATTTTTTTAGTAAGTTTAAGGTAAGTGTTGTTATAGATTTCTAAATGTACTGAGCTGTATGATTATGTTGTTTTTTTCCTTGGTTCTGAAAATTGAGTTGCATTCCTGGAATCATGTTTTTGACTTCATATCTGTTTGTTGGTGTTGATCTGTTAGTGAATTTATTCGAGATTTGATAGTCTCTGCATATTTGCTTAAGAATGGTTTAAAGGTTTAGGATTCGGACTCCTCCCTTTTATTTGGTGGTTGAACTGTAAAGATACAATGTATGGTTGAAGGATACATGTGGAATGATACACGGCTTTTAAAATGATATTATTCTGCTCATAAATGTCATTAGTGCACCTAAATGTTTACTCATGTTTAATTAAGAGAAGTATGTATGCTATTTCTAGTTAATACTTTGGATTCAATTATTCATGCCTTAATTAGTACTATAGAGATATTAATCCCAAGGCAATTGAGTTGTTATAGAATTAGCTGAAGCAAATTGTGGAATTCTGGTTGTTAACGTGATGCTAATAGGAATTGGTTTGGATTCTGTACCATTGTTGTGTCGATTCTGAGAAGGCGAAGAGGTTGTTTTAAATTTTGGAAGAAACATGTCAAGGTGTAGGTAACAGAATTGGGTCAACTTTAAAACCCCTTTAATGTTGGCCCGATGATTACTTGTGTTATGTATAATCGTGTCAATTGCAACAATAGGTAAGTGATAATACTCCCCACAATAACTCCATAACTTATAACATTCACAATTAAATCTCAAATTAGGATTTGAACAACTCACTCGTTAGGTACGCTTTTAGGCCCGATTGATAAATCATCGTGAATATGAGTACGGTTCCCGTGGCATAGTCATGATACGTGATCACGCTCAACTCTAGTCCTAAAAAGGGTAAGCGGTCGTTGTAAATATAATCCGGTCTAAAAGACTGGAGTCGAATCCCAAAGAGAACTAAGGTTTCACTATAACTGTTTAATATCGCTAAGAGACACAAGTCCAAATAATTTCCTAATTATAAAGATTATAATGTTTATTTTTATCTAATTAACTAACAAATACTAGAAAACAGTACAACTATCAATTAACAAGGATAAGGATTGAAGACAAGACTAAGGAGGTCTAGAGTTCTGATTTCCCCAATTGTCGGAATCCTTCCCGTTGTGCCTTCTATAGATTCGCCTAAGTACTCTACCGATCGTGAGTACTTTAGTTGTCGTAATTCTCTCTCGAGCAACTACCGCAATTTACTAGATGTATTCTCTCAAACTACACTAGTTGACACTTAATTCATCTCTCACTACGATCGCACCAAGGTTTCTTTATCTCTAATCCCGCCTTTAAACCCTCCGTATCGATCTCTCACATACGTTAGGAGTGATGTTGTTCAATATCTACCTAAATATATACTCTCTTTTGAGTAGTACACACTAAATAGGCACAGACAATTGATGGTAATTCAATCAACAGCAACAAACATATAGTTGAATAAGTAGAAAAATCCAACGGCTCAATTATATAAAAACATAACAAGAATTCATCCTCCAAAAGATTCCATTAAAACCCTAGATAACAAATTAACTATTTATAATTGTATGCAAAAATACAATACTAGAATTCATAACCAATAATAAAAATAGAAATAAGGAAGTGAGAAACTTATAGAAGAATTTTCCGCCTTGCTCCTAGTGTGTTCTTGCCTCCTTAGGGCGAATCCCCGGTCTTCTTAGCCTTCTTAGGTCTAAATTATGTCAAAAGTATGTCAAAGGTGCTCAACATACCGTTTTTCCATGTATATATAACAAGTAGGGTCGAGCCCAAATAATTATACCTTCTCCTACGCGAAAAAGGACATTTTTCCAGGTCAGGACGTCTGTGGCCGCGGATTCAACCGCAGATTTGGCCGCGGATTTTGGCCAGTTTCTGCCTCACATCCGCGGCCAGTGCTTGGCCTCGCACTTGTCGCGCATTTTTGCCATGTTCTTTTAGGAATTGGAAAAAAATGTAAAACATTAAAGTTGTAGCCCTTTGAATTAGCTTTCCAACAATATATTGTGGAGATCAAATGGAGTTCTGAGCGAAAAGTTATGTGCATTTGATTAGACAGTGCATAATATGTCTACTCGATTCTTCATTTGTTCTTAAATATCATCCATTGATCCCCGAACACGATCCCGGCTTGATTCCTTGGGCTTTCACTTAGACTTCAAAGCTCCAAATCACTTGAATTCATTCCATAACATCTACATAGCTCGGAATCACTCCTACAAGGCATAAAATACACAATTAGTACAAAACACTAGCGATTAAAGCTCAACCTCAACTAAAGTGCAGTGAATTGAAATATAATAATCGACTAAAATATGTAATTATAGCATATCATCAACATCCCACACTTAAACCATTGGTCGTCCTCGAGCAATCAAACTACACTTTATATAGACACGGCCTTTTTAAGTAATTCTCCTAACTCATCACACCAAGAATACTTAACATAGACGAAGCACAAAAGCGTAACATCTTTACCTCAAGATTTTACTTACAAGTACCACGCATTATTCACAAATCACTCACTTACTCTAACATAGAGGTCAGGGATTACCTTTCCTGAATCACGTGCCCTCACACAACAAAAGAGAGTAGTTTCATACAATAAAATGTAAGAACACTTAGGAACTCAAGATAGAAAGAATTCACTCACTCTCATAAATAACATTCATATGCCACAAAAGTTGCACCATATGCTTGCCCGTAGTGTACTACTCTACTAATTGAGCTCATTCAGTCTAGGATCAAGTAGGACTTTAATTGGTTGTAATGTAGGTGTACACGGCTGAAATCGGACGCTCTGAATTTGTGATCGATATGACATTCCGTAGCCCAGAAGGCTCGAGGCACCGATCGAGGTTTGACACCGAGGGTTCCCCATGTCAGACCCCGGGTAGCAGAGACCGACAGTTATTATGGAAAAGTGGGAAATTCTTGAGGTGCGTGATAAAAGCTGATAACGTCTGCAAGAATAGTACAAGTTTGTACCAGACTTTTAAGTAGTTGTACCAGCTACTTTTCCTTGTAATAATTATACATGTACCATGTTGGAACTTCCCCTCCTATATAAAGGGGATCCTTGTTATTTTTTGCACACATGATATTCAATACAAGAACATTCTCTGCTCTCTAACTTAAACATTCTCTATTGTCTTTCCTCAGATTTATTATTTACATTTATTGTATTTCATTGATTGTTCTTCATTTACTTCTCGTCATTGATCATAAAGAGTGTGAGCATGTGATTTTTGCCCAAAAGCAAATTATTCCTAGAAATTGAAACAAAATAATTTCTTTATTATTTTATAATTTTAGAGAATTTTGGTGACATTTTCTGCTAATTGGCGCATTTATATCTGCATTCTAATTCATATAAAAATAAAAAAATATACATTTGCATTTAGGATTTAATTTCATATTTTTAGTATTAATTAGGGAATAATTTGTTTTTAGAATAAAATATGAAAATAACAAAAATAGTTCACTTTTGCATTTTAATGGTTTAATTGTGAATTCGTCCCGAAATAATTTTTAAAATAATTTTAGAAATCAATTAGTGAGATATTAGGACTTTATTTTTAATTGTTGAAATTGTATAAAATCAGAAAAAATATACAAAAATAGATAAAAGAAACAAATGAAAAGGAAAAGAAAATAAAAAGAAATAGAGAAAGGGTTGCCCACATTTGGGCCATGCCAATTCATCTCGTTCAGGCCCAAATACCCAATGTAGTCGGCCCAGTCCAAGACCTTCCCACCCGGTCCAATTCAATAATCCTCCAAACGACGTCGTTTGGGGGACAGTCAATCCTGGCCATTAAAGCTTCTGATCCGACGGCCAGGAACCCCCTTCCCCATTTTTATATAACTGTCCGAAATTCCCAAACCCTAAAAAACACAGTTCATCCTCCTCGTACCCTCTGTACTTCGCCGGAATCTCACCGCCGGCGAACACCACCTACGCCATCGGCCACCAAAATAATACCACGAAACCTCATTTTCTTCCTCGTCATGAATCTACCACCCGTTTCCTTCAAATCCAGCCCTAGCTCGTCGAATCTTCGATCAAAGGTTTCCGGCCAAAACACAAAATAACCCAATCACCACCAAATTAACACCACGTAACCTCACCTGGGCCTCCTCTACCCAACCCTCATGGCCTTGTATCTCGAATATGTCTGGAAAAACTCGAATCTCAGATCGAGGGTTTCTGACCAAAAACCTAAGGCAGGATCTCCATGATTTCGGACCCTAACAACCCCAACCAGGTGTTTTCTTATGAAAACACATGGTTAGGGATGTTAAGGGTCAGAAATTTCGGGGATGTGGAAAAACCACTGGCCGGAGCTCTTCGTGGTCAGTGGGTTCGTATTGGTATTTTTCTTTCATCTTAAATTTCTTTTTCCTTTTCTGATTTTCTGCATGTGTGAATTCCTTGTTTAAATGTCTAGTTAATTTACGTTTTAATTTTTGTCAATATTGCTCTAATCTTGTATCCCGATTTGATTAAGTCTAGTTGTTTGTTTGAATATGTTCCAATTCCTGATACTAGTTCGATTTATAATTTGTTAATTAAGTTAAGTTTTGCTTGAATTAGTTTCTGTTTTTCTTTTAGTTAAATAATAATTAGTTCATGTTTGGCTTCAGTTTGATTAGTCGTCTAGCTAGTTCTAATTAGTTTAATTTGTTTTGGTCTGATTAAGGCTGATTTGGATTCTTTGGGAAACTATAATTGGTCCGTTTAAGGCTAACAGAGGGTTTGAGTCAGTCAATTAGGGGTTTGAAGCTCAGCTTATTTGGGTAGTAATTTCAGGAAGGGAATAAAGGTAGTTTAGGCATGGAAAATGGTAGTTGTATTAAGAATAGTAATTTCAAAACCAAGATAAGGGTAGTATAGGTATTGTATAGGTAAAAGAATACCCTAGGGCCTTCTAGATTAAGACTTTAGTGTAGATTTCAGTAAACTTAGGGGAGTAACTTGAGAAACAAGGCAGAAGTTGAAGGACTAATAGGGGAAATCTGAAATTAAAAGAGGGAAATTGTGTGAGTGCCATCTAGAGCATTCTACCATATTTGTTGCCTATAAAAGGCAACCCCAATGCCTTCATTGGGGGTCTGAAAAATTTTCCAGGGAAGCTCCTCTCTGATTATTCAAATCTAAACTTGAAGTTCAAAACATTCAAAAACCAAAAATAAATCACTGTTTCATTGTTTTCTTCAGGTTGTTTTCGAATTCCAGCTTTAATTCAACTTTCTAGTTCATCTCAAAATCAAAAACAACTTGAACTCTTCCGTGTCTATTCAATAGTTGAAATATGAAAGTGTTTTGAATTATTTGAGCACTGGTGTTGGTTTATTTGAGCTGGTTGGGGTTAATCGTCGAATGTGTGGATTGATGGATTCATTGTTGGTTGTATTGGTGCAATTTTGGTTTTGAAAAGTTCTTTGGATCACTGATTCATTTCTGGGCTGAAACTGCTATTTGAAATTCCAAATCGTTGTTGCTTGTTCTGCTGTTGCTAACTGCTCCTTCTTCCTTTGATATTTTGAAATCCAGGTACACAATTGAACTGTCCCAATGTAGACTCTCCTGTCCAATGATGAATTGAAATTGAAGTTTCTGCTGCAGTTTTCTTCTTCTGTTAAATTGTATTATGTTATAAACATATCCTGTGACTTAGTGAACTGTACACTCTAATCAATTATGGACTGTATGCCTGGGCCATTTCGAAATGTAGCATGTGTTCGTTTAGACTTGATTTTAGTATAATAGGTACTGGACTCTGTGTAATCATAGTTCTGTTAAAATAAAATAAAAAATCAAAAATAGTTGGTATTGCAATAGTTAACAGACACCTAGTGAATCGTTAATTGATTCAGGTTTTGCTAGGTTGAGTCCAGTCAGATGTATGTCCATGTAGGTGTTTTGATTGTTGATCAATATTTGGAGTTGACAGTTATAATTGAGAATGCTAATTGTTATGGAAAAGGCTATGGAAATCCTGCAGTTTTATTTTGTTTAAAAGGTTGGGCATAGTCACTTGAGTTTGAATCTCTGTTAGTGTTAATTTGGTAGACTGATTAGCTTCTTAGATTAATAATCGTTTGGAGTTAAAAATCGTTTGGTTTGTGTTTGCCCCTGCTGGGATTCGACCACCCAGCTGGCTCCGTGTGGCCTGATAGGGTTCACGTACTTTGGGCCAAAAGCAGGCCCAATATTTATAGTTAACGAGAATTGGGTTTTCACAAGCCTGGTTCATTGGACCAGCAATCATGAAATAAATTTATAAGCCTAGAATTCCTTTTATTACTATGGACAAGAATATAAAGAAATAAAAAAATCATAGTTGCTTTTAGGTTGGCCTTTTTAAATAATAAGTGAGCCGAGCCGAGCCAATTAAAGCTATAAATTGCGGGGCCCTCGATAAATATTGTCCTAATTTTCTAGAATTCGGAATGGGCCGTTTAGCGAATTTCACGGCTTTCCTTAAAGATAATAACGCGTTAGACACTTTAGGGGCGTTTTTTAATAAATTACCTTTTTAACTCGGGTGCGCATCGATGCGACCCAAATCCAAATCTCAATGGAGTCGAAATGTGTCAACGACCACGGGTGCATTGATTGTGATGTGGTTCGAGACACGTTTTCACGACGTTGCAATTCTCGTAATAATAATAAAAGCGGTTCGAAATTAAAAAACCCATAAGCAAGAACATATTTTGAAATCAGATAAAATCAAATACAATAGTTGAGCGACCATGCTAGAACCACGGGACCTGGGAATGCCTAACACCTTCTCCCGGGTTAACATAATTCCTTATCCGGATTTCTGGTTCGCGGACTGTTAACAGAGTCATATCTTTCCTCGGTTCGGGATGCAACCGGTAACTTGGTACACCATTAATTTCCCAAGTGGTGACTCTGAATAATAATAATAAATCCCGTTCTGATTGTCCTTTAGTTGGGAAAAACTCATTTACACCCTTCCGAGGTGTAAGTAAAAAAGGAGGTGTGACAGCTCTGGCGACTCTGCTGGGGATCGAACCCAGATTCTCTAGTTCAGGGTTCAGAATTCGAGCTTAGATAAATTGTTGTATTTGGTTATATCTGATTTTCCTACATGTTTCATACTAAATGTGCTAAATGCTACCGCTTTGATATCATTTGAACTGTATATAAACTGTGCCGATACCCTTCTCTCTTCACCTCCGGGGATGTGCTTACTGGTTGAGACTCCCTATTCTGTTAGTGTCATACCCTGGAATAAAAGAGGCTCGGATAAGTTGCAAAGCCGGACGATCTCGCGGGTCCCCGGTACGCTGCCCCTCCTCGACTCGAGTTGTCCGCTCGAGTGCACTGTTTAGAACACATACCCAGGTTTTGAACCTAGAATAACTTGACTTCATGCCGGATCCCTAGTAGGAGCGTTTAATTGCATCATGTTGCATTTGACTTAGGGGATTCAACACAGGAGTTGGGTCCATCTAGGGCTAGCAACTTGAAATGAAAAGACCATCCTGATGCATCCTATTTGTTCTGTACATATAATTGTTTTGAACCAGCATGTTGACCGGCTTTTGAATATCGGGAATGCTGGAAAATCGAGGAAGAAAAGAAAGGAAAAGAGAAAAGAGAGATTAATTGATTATTTTAGAAAAACCGATGACTAAATACTGGCGAAACTCTGCCGAAATTTGAGAAAATAAAAAGAAGATTTCTTTATTTTTAATAAGTCTGTTTTGCTAAAAGCAAAAGAAAAATAGGAAAAGAGTCCTTTATTTTTGGAAAATTATTTGTTGAAAAGGAAAAGAAAAAGAGTCTTTACTTTAATTTGGTAAAATAGGTTGTTGAAAATGAAAAAGGAAAAGTCGTTATTTTGTCTTGTTTTCAAAAATAGAAAGGAAAAATAGTTTGTCTTGCCATGGAAAATGAAAAAAAAAGAAGGTCTTGTTTTCAAAATATAGTTAGTTTCTTTGCCCAAACTACGCCGGTTTGATTCTCACAGGGTGTGAGATACGTAGGCAACCCTCATCGGGTCCAACCTCCCCTTTGCAAAAATAGCCAAAAAAAAGAGGAAAAAAAAAGAGAAAAAAATATCAAAATTTTAATTTTCGTCATAAATAAGTCGGGTAACGCCGTTTTGTCAAAAATAGTCGAATGTTCCCGAAAGGAACGCCGAAAGGCTGACTTTGCATAAACGGCCATCTTTAGGTTTTTGCTGATTGACCCACACAGCCTTAAAATTGTCGTCCCCGAGGCGTTAAAAGGCCGCGTTTGCAATACCGGGTCTTTATTTTAATTTGAAAAACGAAAAACAAAAGAGTCATAAATACGTTAGGTGATGCCGTTTTTGTCAAAAATAGCCGAATGTTCCCGAAAGGGACGCCGGAAGGCTGACTTTGCATAACGGCCACCTTTGGTCAATTTTAATTTTTGACCGGTTGACTCTCACAGCCTTAAAATCTTCGTTCTTGGGAGTGCTGAAAGGCAGTGTTCGAAAACCGAGTATTTCATTTTAAATTTGGAAAAGGAAATAGTTAATTTTGTTTCGAGTCAAATAAAAGTTTTGTTTTTGCTTAAATCACTTTAATAAATGTGCAGGATGAGCACGATGCAAAACGAACCTTTCTCAATAATAACTAAAATCCCTTTTGAGTTGCGGCTATGGTGGAACGATTTAGGCAAAGAAGGACAAGACGAAGTCAAGAAATATCTGAAAGGTCTTACGGGTTTATTGGAAATCAAGCCTCGGGGTGATATTATAAGAGCTTTGGTCACTTGCTGGGACCCGGCGCACAATATCTTCCACTTCTCAGATTTTGAGCTCACCCCAACTCTGGAGGAAATAGCCGGGTACATCGAAAAAGCTGAGGTTCCGTTAAGAGGAAAATATCTGGTTGCTCCAAGAGCCATCACGGTGCATCGGTTTTTAGATTCATTGAAGATACCCAGGACGGTCCATAATCCAAATTTGGCAAAAGGTTTCTGCACTCTGCGCTTCATATACGACAAGTACAGCCACGTGGGAGGGTTTAACAAGCCGGACATCAAGCTATGCAGTAAAAATAATCGTCGAAAGTGGGATGAGCACAGACGGGTGGCTTTCATGATAACCTTTTTGGGCCTCCTAGTGTTCCCAAGGAAAGACGAGAATATTGATATAAAAGTAGTCGGGGTCGTCAGTACCTTGCTTGCTCAAAATGAAAGCACTCTTGCGCCTATGATCGTGTCTGACATTTTCCGAGCTCTCACTACCTGCAAAGCCGGAGGCAACTTTTTTGAGGGGTGTAACTTGTTGCTACAAATGTGGATGACCGAGCATCTATGCCACCGTTCCCAGCTCTTGAGTTATGGTTCGTCTGACAAAACATGTATAGGAGAGTTTTACACAAGGATTGACGGGGTTAGTCTGCCTGAAGGAGTAACAGCATGGATATCATACTTTCGTACTCTCACGGACAGTCAGATACAGTGGACGTTGGGATGGTTGCCTGTTGAAGAAATCATATACATGCCAGCAGCTAGGTCACATTTTCTTTTGATGGGACTTAAGAGCATCCAGCCTTATGCTCCATGTCGGGTTCTGAGACAACTCGGGAGATGCCAAACAGTGCCACGGGAGGAAGATCTTAGTGCTCAAGTAATTGAGATTAGCCCTGACGGACAGTTTCCCGAAGCAAAAGTCCACGAGATTTGGAATGAATGTCAATATTTACAAGCAGATACTTGTGTGCAGGATCGGGCCAAAGGAGGAATGTTGCCAGACTACCTTGCATGGTAAAAAAGAGAACTTGAGCATCAGAGACTAGCTAAAAGACCCCACATCCAGGATTTCATTAAATCATCACAAGAACAATGGGGTTGGCTAGCAAAAGAAGAAGGCTATCAGGCCGAAATCAGCAAGCTGAAACAACAGATTGGAGCTCTGAAATTTGAGAATAGTGTGCGAGTTGCTGCTGATCAGGGAGAAAAGAATAGGTTGACCCAAGAAAACGAGGCGCTTAGGGCCCAAGTCCAGCAAATGGGGATGGCTGCCAATAACCAACAAAGGAGTCGGTCGGACGAGCGGTTGATAAAGGGGCTGAAAAGGGAAATTGGTGAGTGCCGGGATGAACTGAAAAAATCCGAAGGCACCATAGCGGAACTCCGGGCACAGTGGGTAAAAAGAACGGAAGAACGCACCCATTACATGCAACAATTAAAGAAGGATTATGAAAAGACCATCGGTAGTCTGAAAAGGAAAGTGGTCACCCTTGAGGATAAAGCAGTTAAGCAAGCTAAAGCTTTTGAGACTGAAAGTGGACACTGCTATGACTTACTAGCCCGAATGGAAGTAGAAATACAGCAGCTGCAGGATCAGCATCTTCAGGATTCTCATGTGTTGGAGGCTCGCAATAATCAAGTAAGGCGATTGCTTATAAAAAAGGGTCGAATAAGAGACAGGATTGAGACAATTGCCCACGCCATCCTCAGGAGATGTCGGGCATGTGAAGACATGACCCGTACTACCTTCTTTTCTGCAGTAATAATTTATGTCAAGCGAACCATGTATGAGCTGGAGCAACTTGAAAGGGATTTGGCACCTAAGCCCACGGCGAGGCCGAACGATGCCCCGCGGGCACCCACTTTTGAAGCACTAATGTATTCATAGATCGAGTCTGTATTTTCCATTCTAGAGTTTGTTGTTTGTCAGTCTGTTTTCTTTTTGCATCCAAGTATGCTAGTATGTTCGGAGTTTGTATTTGAGTTTAGTTGGAGTCCATTATTTTCCATTTCAAAATGTTTAGTTTGTAATAGAATGTTGTGGTAATGAAAATCTGAAAATTCCCAAAAATTTGTTCCTTTGTTTTTGCACTTATTTTCACGAACTACGCCTGGTCTGATTCGTGCGGGGTCACGATACGTAGGCAATCTCCATAGGATTCGACTGTAACCAAATGAAGAGGGAAAGAAAGAAGAAAAACAAGAGGTGTGGAAAAAGAATAAGAAAAGAAAAGAGCGGAAAAAAGGAAAGGGATAGAATA